ATATTGTTAAACAATCAGAGACGGACGAAAAGTTCTTAAAGAGGAATTTCATCCATCACTTCTCTTGCTCTCTTTTTCACACCTGTGGTCCTTTGCAGGTCATCTTTGAAAGCGTATCACAGTAGTTATCTGAGATTAGATATGGTAAAAAATGCATGCAGTGTCTAAAGAGAAAACATCAGTACTTGTGAATTATCAGTCCCTAGGTTCTTCTTTTGGCCTACAGTTTCAATTTTGATGCACGATCTACCAAGTACGCCTGGCACTGGAATTTTATCCGCACATTTTAGTATTGCCAGTTTCGGAAAAAACGACAGTGCGGCCAGCATCCAGATTGCTTTTTGGCTTTTGGCACCAAATAAAAATGCACTGTCAACTTGACTAGGCATGAACAACTTGTAATGGCCGTCTTGAATTTTCTTTAACTTCAAATTCACTTTTATAGCGCCGGAATTTCTGGAAACTTTGCAGGCAGTTCTGCGAATCTGGGACTGCTTATTTTACGAGGGTGATCCGGTACTGTTCCGGATAGCAGTGACGTTAATCGAGGATTTAGTGCCTTCACTTGTGAAATGTAGCAGCACTGACGATGTTCTACAGGTTTTCAGTAAAACTAGCGCAACACCAATTGCAAGCGACTGCCACCGCTTATTACAGGTTCGCGCCTATTTGTAAATTTTACGGCGTTTGTAATATAATACTACCACAGCTCGACTTAAAATTTAGGCGAACCGGTAAAGTGAAGTTTCAAAAATAGGTTCACATAATGCGTTAACTGATACTGCAGGAGTTCTCAAGGAACGAGGCCTCTTGACACTTACAACGGTTCGGTCACTGCACCATTACATGCATGTAGCAGCTTAGGTATTCAGATGGCACTGAAAAGAAAATAATTTTGTCACAAAAGTACGAAGTGTGAAGCGAACTGTTCTGCATAACTTTCAGCGATGCATCTGTACAAGTGAAACAACACGGCACAATTGCACACAGTGTGGCTGCTTAACTCAATTTCAGGTTGCATTTGACAAAGATAAAGATTTTATCACATCCGAAAAGCTGAACGAAATACGAGCCAAATACAGCTAATCGGTCAACTGCAACAATTGACCAACTGCCCACGACAGAAACAAAGGACCAAAGAGAAGAGCCACAATTTTCTTTCTTTGAACAAATATGTACCTTATGAAAGTAAATGCAAGTGAACGGCTGAGTGACGCCGAGGATGCACCTACACAATTAGCCATGAAAATTTTTATTTGGCTC